GGCTGCACCACACTTGGTCTACTCCCCCATCCGGCATGGGGACATGGGCGGCTCCTCCTGGCTGCAGGGACTGCTGCCACTATGGGCGTGGGTGTGCAGGGGTCCAGCCGCAGTATCCGAGGGCAATCTTATTTTAACTGATTTAAGGAGCTGCCACAGTTTTCCACCCTTTCCAGTTGTGCACGTCTACTAGGGGGTGCAATTGCCCACCATCTGGATTATAGCTCTGAGCACTATCCTGCCTTGGCCTTTCATGTCGCAGCATCAGTGAGTTGTCACAGAAGGTGAAGGAGTGTGCATCCCCCGAAGCCATTGCTACATGATGACCAGCAACAGCTTAACCCAGGGCCTCACACAACCTAAGGGGGCCTCTACCACTGAGCGACACCTCACCCCAGGACTGCAAACCACACCCACTTCAACTAAACGTGTTCCTAAGTGAGCTTCCCCTTAGCCAAGGCCCCCACACCTGAGTGCCTGGATCTCCCAACACAGCCAGATGGACCACTGGCTGGATGGGACAGGTGCAGCTGGTTTACCACTGCAGCTAAGATGAGTTACTATTTCAGCCTGCATAGAAACATCTCCTTACAGGAACCTCCCAGGGCCTTTGAAAAAGGCACATACAATTGATGTGCCTTGGTCCTTCAATTTTATTACTTTCATTGTAAATTTGCCTCTACCAGGGGCATTTAAAAAGATATTTAACATAATCTCTATTTATGAACAAACTTTGAAATTCACTCCTATGTGTATTTGGTTTAATTTTTCTTTGGAATACAAGTTGATGGGGGAGGAGAATGTCCTTTGGAATAATCTGTCCCATTTGGAAGTAAAAGAAAACTGAAAACTTCTGTACAGACCCATCCCCAGGTTCCTGTCACCTGTCACCCAGTGATGGGACTGTGTGGGACAATTCCTGACCCTGGCTTGTGTGTAAGTGTGCAGGGTCTCACCTCCTCAAGAGAAGGATGCTGACTACGTCCAGGGCAAACCTTTCATGAGTTGCCAGGTACCTAGGCCTCTGGCCGCAGTATGCCCGGCCAGCCACTTGGCCTTTTCTCCCAGGGTGTCATGAGCACCTGTGACCACCAGATGGCTGTGTTACCCACAAGGACGCTCTGTGGCCCTCTGGTGGCCAACACCAAACCTAGGTCTTTGCTCCAGTCCAGGGTGCAGCAAGTCAAGTGAGGCTAGGGAATATAAAGCACCCACTGTGTGCTTCACAGACCCACCTAGAAGCTCAATGAGGAATATGCAGATTCTGAAGCCAAAAGGAGTTTTCTTGCATCACTGGGGATGAAACTCAGGACCTTATCATGCTAGAGCCTTGTCCCCTGAGTGACACCCCAACATTACAGAAGCACAGAAAAAAGTTCTCTTTCCTCTTAGTTAATATGGATCCAGGGGTGGGGGTGTCTCTTAATGGTAGAGTACGAGCTTAGCATGTGCAAGACCCTGGATTCCATTCCCAGAACCCCCCCTCAAAAGGATATATATTCCAGTACCACCACAGAAGGGGGTCCCCTGATGTCATTCAGCATTTAAGGCCTGGCTAGAAGACAGACAGGGGAGATTACAGTGGTCAGAAGTACCAGATGGCTTTCCCACCACTCTTGCCTGTGGACAGGTGCAGCTGATTAGACTTTGCCAATCAGCCACCAATCAGCCAGCAGTCCCTTTCCACTGCCCTGGGTCACCGTGAGGGCAGAACAGTGGTCTGTCCTYCCCCAGGTCAGTATATGGATCAGTACATCAGTTGGACACAGGACAGCCGAGGGCTGGGTCTGGTATGACCTTAGTGCTTGAGGCTGCGGTGGAGGGTGCAGAACAGGTCACCCCACCCRCTCCCACACCAGCGTGCCCCAGCTGCTAAGGAGGGGCTGAGCCTGAACAAGCAAAGGCTGCTGCTATTTAGTGTCCCTCCCTCACCTGGCTGACTGCTCCTCATTCTTTAGGTTTCAGCTTAGATTTCATTTTGACCTTGTGGGGTTAGTTTGGTGCTTGTCTTCTAAGCCCACARCACAGAAGTCTGTTTAAGAGCTTACTGTATGAACTCCTGGGTTTGCAGGAGGGGGCTGGGGCCTGTTGGAAAAACAGAGCAATGTACTGGGCCTGGGTTTTCCTTAATGCTGCATTACTTGGTATTATGACAGGTGGATTCTTTTTCCCTTTGGGGATGGTGCTGGGAATCAAACCCAGGACTTCATACATGCTAAGGGAGTGCTCTACTACTGAGCTACCTTTTATTTGGTAGCTGTCTCTGCTAGTCAAATATGGATGGAAGCAGGGTCTGTGGTCTCTTGGCTGCATTGTCTGAGCCAAGCACAAGGTCCAGCACATAGTAGGGAGCATTTACTAAATGGTGCCCGTGTGCATGGTGCCTCCTTTAACCTGGTTCCTGATGTTTCTTAGCCTCTCTGACCTCCCTGCTTGGGTCCCAGGCAGGACCAATTCTCTGTCCTCCAGAAGCTTGGTCTGATGCTCTGAGGTTGGCCCTTGTTTTCCCCTCTACTCTTTATTCTGTCCTTGGTTCCTGTGGACTTTGGGGACATTATTCTACTGGATGAGCCCTGATTGAATACCCCCGTGGCCATCCCCTAACCCAGGGGATGGACTGCATTTTAGGTTGGAATGAGCCACAGGCCTCRTCCACTCATTCAGTAAACCTTTCCTGAGCAGCTGCTCTGTGCCACACCCTGTGAAGACACTGGGTAACCAGTCTCTGCCCTCAGGAAGCTGCTGCTTAGTGGAACAGAACAGCCAGTAAAAAAACAAGACCAGGTTCCATGATGGGGTGCATTTGGGTGCCAGAAGCACAGAAAATAGCACCAACCTAACTTTCAGGGTCAAGGTGAAGTCTAAGCAGAAACTTAAAGACTGAGGAGAAGTTGACCAGGTATGGGAGGGAGAAGTTGTGGGGGAGTCACTAGCGACAGGGACAGAGTGAGATTTTAACCTAGAAAAATCATTCTTGCTTCCCCAAGAGGAGATTAAACAGAAAAAAAACTTAGAGGACCATCAGATTGGAGAGCAGGCTCACTAAAGTTCCAGGTAGGGGCTGGGGATGTGGCTCAAGCGGTAGCGCGCTCGCCTGGCATGCGTGCGGCCCGGGTTCGATCCTCAGCACCACATACCAACAATGATGTTGTGTCCGCCGAGAACTAAAAAATAAATATTAAAAATTCTCTCTCTCCTCTCTCACTCTCTCTTTAAAAAAAAAAAAAAAAAGTTCCAGGTAGTTTGGAATCAGCTTTGCAAGATGAGAAACTCAATTGCTTCCACAGCCATAGGTAGGGGARCTGTATTTTGCAAAAACAACAACAACAACAAACCCCAGCTAAGTCAGAATCTCAGATAAACAATGAATATTTAATATATGTCCCAAATATTGCATCAATGTGCATCCAATATTTTATGTCAGCTCTACTGATAGTGACAAAGGCTTTGAGACTGACTCAGGTGTACCAGACTCACAGGGGTCTGGTGTAAATCCAATTTGTTAATTTACAACTGCAAGCAGGGGTAAAATATGCACGTTATTCAGATTCTCCTTTCTAGAAAAAAAAAAAAGTCATCATATGACTGTTTGGAGAGCACCAAATGAGGAAAAAAAGGACATGAGAAGCTTGAAAGAAAATTTTATATCAAGGTCAGGAAAATTCTGGAGGAGAACCCTGGCTTCACTACACAGAACTCCTTTTGTTGTGGCTGAATGCACAAGTCTCCCCTGCAGAGGCAGGCCAGGTCCGCTGCACCCTAGTAGGCAGCTSTGTTGAAATGCATGGTTTTCTTCTGGCTCACCCATCACCCTTTGCTGGCTGATTCTCATTTTGCTCACAGGGGATCCTGCTTCCAAGATCTGGGGTTCCCGGCTGACATCTGCACATGGAGTCATGCTGTTTTCCTTTTGGAATGTATTTGGTTTCCTCCCCCAGCCCTTTTTGTGCGTACTGGGGGATTGAACCCAGGGACWCTCTACCCTGAGACACACCCCCAGCCCTTTCTATTTGGAGAGAAGGTCTCACTAAGTCATCTAGGATGGCCTGAAACTTKCGATCCTCCCGCCTCAGTCTCCCAATGTTGCTAGGATTACAAGGCTGTACCACCTCGCCCGGCCTTGTTCTGCCTTCTTAAATCCATCCACAACGACGAGTAATTCAGAAACCATTTCAAAACTCGGGGGTGCCTATACCCAAAGGGTTTCTTGATTTTTATCTCCTGACATCCTCAAATCTAGTCCCTTCTTTCCACTMCCCGGGCCACTTCCCTGGCCCCCGGCCTGAGCGTCTCCGCCAGGATCCCGCGGCTTCTCGGCTGGCTGGCCCGAACCCCTCTCGCCCTCGGACACACTCCCCACACCACACGAGAGTTCTTTTGAATACAAAACGCCATAGTGCTCCCGCCGAAAGCCCTTCACGGGGTCCGGGCCTCACTCCGAAAAGGCCAAGTCGCCAGGCACGTCCTCTCCCTGCCGTCCGGCCTCCGACCCCTTCGGCCCGCTCSGCTGGGCTTCGGGGCCCCGCGCCAGCCGCGGAGTCTCGCCCACCTTCCCCGCCGGGTCGGAAGCGTGTCAGCACACAGCAGGGGCTTAGCAGTCTAGTAAGAGGACGCCAGCGCCCTGCCCAGAGCTCGGGATCTGCGTGCGGGAGGTGAGGCGAGCGCCACTCCACGACGCCGGGCGGACTCGGGATCGGCTCGAACGCGGCAGGCGGCAACTCTTCTCCACGGCAGGAGGCGTGCCAGAGGCCCAAGGCCCGCCCCCAAGCCCTTACTGGGTGGGATCTGTGGAAGAGAGCAAGTCCTGGTTCCGTATTGGCTAATACCGAGGAGCGAGGAAGGGGCGGAAACCGACTTCTTCCGGACTCCTCATTGGCTAAGATCTCAGTTCAGCTCCCGGCTTCTCATTGGCTAAAGTCGAGGGTGGTGTCTTAAAATCCTCCGGGTCCCCTGCTAGCTGGTGCGAGAGACGAGCCCCGGCCCCGCCCCTCGGGCCCGCCCTCTTCGTTTTAAACAAAAAAAGTCCGAGGCGCTGCTGTGGTTCACTCCAAAGTCTCCGCGGTTAGCCCGGGGCGTTTGCTGCCCGAGGCCCTGGAGCCTTTCTGAACCTGAGGATTTAAGGATACGCGACAGGCGAGGGAGGTCGGAATGATTTCTTCGCGGAACCATTGAGGCGAGGCCTCTGGGAGCGTTTTGAGGGAGGGACCGTGGCGGGTCCGCCTAGGCGTGCAAGGATGGCGGCGGAGAAGACTGATGCGGGGCCGAGGGCCGCGGTCCCTGTGGATCTGCGGCGGGAGCGGCGCTTGGTGTGCGTGGAGTACCCGGGCGTGGTGCGCGACGTGGCCAAGATGCTACCGACTCTGGGCGGCGAGGAAGGCGTCTCCCGAGTAAGAGCGGGGACTCTTCTGAACAGCGGGGGAGGGACCGAGTCCAGAGACTGTGGCTGAAGGGGCGGGGCCTCGATGGGAAATGTGGTTTCCCTGGCAACGGAGGTGGGGCCTGCGGCCAGTGGGCGGTTTTCGTAGAAARCCCAGGGCGCCCAGGGCGCGCTCAGCACCCAAGGGACCCTGTGGGGAGGATCTAGGAGAGGTCCTGGGCCCTCTTCCATCCCGTCTCCTGGCATGAACAGCACCCTCGGCATCCGCTCGGCGAACGTGGCCAAGCCGCCGCCCCGCGGCCTGTGTTGAGCAAGCCCCACCTCCCCGCCCCGGATTAAGAATTGCCTACCTTCCTGCCCGCCCCTGGGCTTAGAGGTGCACGAGCTGACCTCTTATTCTGTGCCAGGCACGTTCTACTATTTTAATTAAATTCCACCCACCGTAGAGCCTACGAAGGTGTAGGGTCGGACCTGCGCTTTATTTATTTATGTACTTATTTGTGGTTTTGGTGGTACTGGGGGTTGAACCCAAGACCTCAGGCATGGTAGACAAGCAAGCACTCTATCACTGAGTTACATCCCCAGCCCTTTAAAATTTTTGTTTTGAACAGAGTTTCTACTAAATTGCCCAGGCTGGCCTCACCTTTCCATCCTGCCTCAACCTTCCAGTAGCAAACATACCATATATCTGGTAGCTTCCAGGTGAAGACATCTGGCGCTGTGCCTGGCTAGTGGCTGCATTTTATAAGGGACTGATATAGTTTATTCAGGGTCACACAGCAAGTGGGGCAGTTGGGAATGAGGCTCTCTGTATTCTTTACATGAACCACATCTTGAAATGTCTGTTCTTTAGAGAGGTTTTCTCTGAACACTATAACTTTAATTCCAGTCTGAAATTTTGTTTTGACATTTATTGTCTGTCTCAGCTCCTTGGCACTGAGGCTGTAAACTCCCTAAGAGCAGGAACCCCTCTCCTTGACTTCTGTACTCCTAATATTTATGAGTGCCTGATTCTTCTTAATTTTTGTCAAATGTATGATTGAATTTCATAACACTCTAATGAGTTAGATACTATGTTTTAATTCCTATTTCTTAAAGACAGGTAAGAAAGGTTAGGTTCAGTATCTCTTGAATGATACAACAAGGACTTAACTCCTGTGTGTCTGACTCAAAACCACGTGTGAGCCCCTTGGGAAGTGCACCCCTTCATCAGACATCAGTTCTACTCATATTTCTTGAGCACCACCTCTGTTCAGGCCCACATCTGCATTCATTTCCACTCCATCAGGATGCAGAGAAATGTGTTTTATGAGAACAGGATTCCCAAGGATTGAGGCTCTTGTAACCATTGTTCTTAGATAGTTCCTGAGCATTTCCTGAGGGCCACACCCTGTCTGGGGTGCTGGGCAGCCATCAGGTCAGCTTGCAGATGGTCTCATCCCTTGCTTCCAAAGGCACACTGAGTTCCTCTTTCCCAGTATGGGGCAAACTCTCATTCATACTTAAATTACAGTGTTTACCCTGAGGTAGGCATGAGGAGGAGTGCTTTACATCTAATTAATTTAATTATTGTAATACTCCTGGAAGGTGGGTACTATTCTTAAGGTTTGCTTTGAAAGTTGTAGGTGACTGCTCCTCAGAGACAAGTACTAATTTAATCTCCTTTGGACCTAGACATATTTGCATATGAAACTGAAAACCATAATCAGTTCTGGCAGAGTGCATGGTTCCTGGAGTAGGTAGTGTTGACAAATCGCCCAACCCCATAAGCCTTAGTTACCTCAAAGGCAAAACAAGGGTGATAGTGTTGCCAGAAGAGTCACGTCATGCCCCCACTGAAGAGGCACTTGATAGATGGTGGCTTTTATTAATTGGAAGTTGTTATCTTTATAAGCCCTTAGAAGGAGGGAGACTATTCACCCTTCTTTTCTCTACTAGATAAGAGATTGAGTCGATTGGGTTTAGAAAATGAGCCTTTTGGAACTAAGCGTGCATCATGGAACATGAGCCTCCTGACTTTCCTCAGTCACCAACAGGTTTGGGAGGGGCAGCTTCCCACTGGCTGCTCAGCTGCCCTCTGCATCCCTGTCTCCCTCCCCTCACTGCAGATCTATACAGACCCCACCAAGAGGCTGGAGCTGTACTTCCGACCCAAGGACCCATACTGCCACCCAGTGTGTGCCAACAGGTTCAGTACCAGCAGCCTGCTGCTCCGGATCAGGAAGAGGACCAAGCGGCAGAGAGGAGTGCCAGCGGAGGCCTACTCCAAGGTCGAGTTTGACATGGAGATCCTGGGCGTCGTCTCTACCATTTACAAATTTCAGGGTAATTGACATCTCTGAGGCATTGGGTTATCAGGCCTGCTCTGGAGGCATGTGGGTCAACTGCCTAGTGAAATGCACATTGCAAATTACCAGCAAGCCTTAGAAATATTCATAGTTACAGCTGCCAGCATGTGCCCTGGCCTGGGGGCTGGCCTATGTGGAGCAGCAGAGCACAGGCACTGCCCTGAAGGCTGCCTTCCTTCCTCCAGCCAGCACTCCCCTGGGGGCTGGGGGCTGGGGGCTCGTCACTGTCCAGTCTTCTGTATTCTTAAGAGAAGCCAGGACTCTGGCTTTCTCTGAGTGTTAGTGAAGCCACCTTGTGGGCCAGATCAGCCTGGAGGGCAGGCCTAATCTGTGCCCAGTGTTCTGGATCAGCATCTTGGTCTTGATGGTATTGCTCTTGCCTCCCCTCTGTGGAGTCAGGCTGGTAATTACAGGGAGCCCCTGGAGGGGCCATAAGCGGGGCCTGGGGAGGTGGGGTAAGAAAGAGCACAGGCTTTGGAGTTGGGCCTCTCTGGGCTCTTCCAGGTTCTTTGGGCAGACGACTTGCTTCCCTCAGTCTCTGCCTCCTTGCCTGTTCAAGGGGACTGCAGAGCCCTGAGTTCCTTAGGCCTTGAGAAGATTCTGGAGATGGTGCTTGTTAAAGGGCTGGGCCCGGCACACAGGAGGCTCATGGCAGATTTCCAATAAGCCTTAGAAATGCCAGAAGTTACAGATTCCAGTATTAAAGATTGAGGAGAGAAAAGGGAAGTTGAAGGGGAAAATGGGAAGTGGAGAGGAGACCAAAGCAGAGTAGAGCTGGGGTCACTTGGCTGCACTGGGATGCCAGTCACACTGTGGAAGCCATGTTCCTCAGAGAGGGGGCATCCTCTCTGGGACAGGTGCTCCTCGTGGTCCCTGAGATACCACACTTGGCATTTCTCTCTCTAATTGAGCCAGCCTGTGCTGCTTAGTGGCCCTGGACTGGCAGCATTAGCCTCCGAGCTTGGTAGAAGGTGGGTCCCAGGTGTTTCTTCCACAAGTTAAGAAGCACCACCCTGCCCCCCCACCCCAGTCGCTTTTACGGGAAGTGATTCAGAGTATGGGGAGTGTGGGGAGTGTGGGAGGATGGGGAATGTGGGAGGATGCTGCTTTATCTCCCACCTCCATCCTCCCTGGGGGGATATGGGTGTTGTGTGGCAGCTGCCAGGTCCTAGGTTAGTGTCCCTGGCCATGGTGTCTGCCATCTGTCCTCTTCTCTTTCTAGGAATGTCTGACTTCCAGTACTTGGCCATACACACGGAAGCCAGTGGTAGGCACATGTCAATGTATGACAAAGTACTCCTGCTCAGGCCCGAGAAGGAGGTGTTCTTCCACCAAGAGCTGCCGCTCTACATCCCCCCACCCATCTTCTCCCGCCTGGACACCCCAGTGGACTACTTCTATCGACCCGAGACGCAGCACCGGTAAGAACCCTGCCCCACTGCAGGGCTGGGGTCAGAGAGCCCTGCGGCCAGAGGGCCTGGGTCCAAGGACTCCTGACAGGAGGCCTCAGGCCTGCCTCTCAGCCTCAGATTCCCACTGACAATAGTAGCTCTTAGGTTAAATTCCTTTCTTCCTTTGTTTGTTTCTTCTTTTTTTTTTCTCAGTAGTGGGGATGGCACCCAGGGCCTCCTGCGTGTTAGGCAAATGCTCTGCCACTGAGCTACATCCATAGTCTTTATTTTATGTTGGGACAGGGTCTCACTAACTTGCCCAGGCTGACCTTGAATTTGTGATCCTCCTTCTTCAGCCTCCCCAGTTGCTGGGATTTTGGGTGTGGCCACCATTCCAGGAGTTGGATTAAATTTTAAAAGCACATTTTATTAGCACAGTGTAGAATATAGCATGAGCCTGGTGGTTCCCAGGCTGGCTCATTCCCAAGGACCACTACAGTACAGAGAACTTGTCTGTGGGATTGAGGGTTCCCGCTGAGAAATGTTCTCTGGGGTTCTGGCCCCTGATCATAGCTGACTAGCCACTCTCTGGACCTTGGGGTCAACAGCAGCAACACTACCTGTGAACCCCAACTCTGACCCCTGTCCTTTCCACCTCCTCTGCCTTCCCTGTGGTCTTGGCCCTTYCCATCCCAGGCAGACTTCACAGCCATCCTTGTGATCAATCCTGCCTCTGTCTTCTCCCTTTGCCAGGCTCATCTGCAGGACTTTGGCCCCATTCACCCTTGCTATTGGCCACCTTAGGTCTGCCCCCCTGCAGCTGGAGGTTGCTTCTGAGTCTGCCCAGCCCAACCGTCTCCTGTGCCATCCCAAGCTGGCCGTGCCTCTGCTGGACATGGCTCACTATGCACTTGGCTGTGGTCTGTGTCCTGTCTGTGTGAGCTCCTGAGCACAGGCTCTGGGTGGGCTTCTGCACCGAGGGGAGCCCAGGTAGGATGTCTCCCAGCCCTCCCCCATATGCACATCCCTACGTGATGAACCACAGCAACTCAAACGCAGTGAACTCTTTACTTGAGATGGTCTTGACATAATTAGAGACCGGGGCGTTGTTGAAAAGGCAGGCCTGGGCATTATCAAAGGCTGGTTTTTCCCTAGAGGCCAGCCACACATTGAAATGAAGAAGTAGGATTTGCTTTGTAGAAAAGCCAGAGCTGAATAGAGTAGGGAAAAAACAAAGAACATGAGTCTGAGACCACCTGCTTGAGATTGATGACACTCGCCTACTGTGCTGCTTTCCCTGGCATCCCCAGGGTGCTGGGCTGTGTGACTCACCAGGGCTCTATCACTCTGTTTTGCCAATGAGGAAGCTGAGACCCAGGGTCCCCAGGCTGTGTGGGAAGCACCTAGTCCTGGTCTTGCCCATCCCTCAGGCCTTGCTTGGGGCTCAGTGCCATACTGACCTTATTTTTGTGTACTTTTTTTTTTTTTTTTTGGTACTGGGGATTGCTCAGGGGCATTCAGCCACTTTTGCTGAGACTGGCTTTGAACTCATGATCTTTTGTTTCCTGGCAAAAAAATTTCTCCTCTTAGTGTGAGTTCCCCAAAGGAACAGTTTGGCCTGCTTCATTCTTTGCTGTGACATTGGTGGCTACACAGAGCTGGTCCTGAGTGAGGTGCTCTGAGAGTATCTGGGCCTCACTAGGAAGCATTGGGGGCAAGAATGGCACCAGGAGAAATGTAAAGGAGAAGCGCATGTGCAATGTGGCCCACAGGCGGCAACATCTGCCATCTATGCAGCTTCCGGAGAGCCAACTGCCAGTACCGAGTGGCACATGTCCGGGTACCTCCCTGGGAACAGGGCAGGCACTAGAACACATTCTGAGGCATCAAAATAAATTGTGGTGTGTAATAGAAGCCTAGAAAATAGGAAAGTCTGCAAGGTGGGCCCAGAATGGTCATCTCCAGAGGGCGGAGGACGGGAGCATCCCCTTTCCTAATTAAACATTTCCTTCAACAAGTCCTGAGCAGGTGCTTACTGTGGACCCCCTGCGACCCCATGGGGTGAGGCTCTGTTTTGAGTGGGGACTGCGGAGCATGAGCAAATGGATGGGGACTTCAAGGAGATAACTGGTGGCTGGGAGGGTGGGAGGGCTGAGGGCTCAAGAGGAGCTGGTGTTAGAAACCAAAGTCTGAGTGACAGAGCCAGGCAGGTGAAGATCTGGGAGAACGTTCCAGACCAGGGATTTGGCACATGCAAAGGAAGGACCGAGAGCTGGTATCCGAGGGCCAAGGGCTTGTGGGGTGTGGCCTAGACTGTGGCAGTGGCTTTGATCATAACCTCAGAGGGGCATTATTCTCTGCCAGGCACAGTGGCACATGCTGGTGGTCCCAGAGGCAGGAGGATCACTTGAGTCCAGGAGTTCGTGGCAGCCTGGGCAACTACCAAGACCCCATCTTGAAAGCGAGAGAGGGCAGGAGGATGGGAGGGAGGGAAGGAGGGAGGGAGACAGAGTTTAAAAAATATGGTCGGAAGTTAGAATAGAAATGTCTAGGTCATTGGGAGCGATTCCTACTGCCCTCACTCCCTCGCTACCTGGGCCCATCCTCGCCCAGTGGCCCAGCTACCTGAAGAAACCACTTTGTGCCCCTCTACACACCTGTACCAGAGTCCTGCACCATGCAGATTTCAGGGTTCTCCTGCCGTGGCGCCCGTGTAGGGCCTCCTTCAGCTTCCTCAGTTGTCTCTAAAGCTACTCAGGAGCCAGAGGAGGGCTGTACACATTGCCTTTGATTGATATCTCCCAAGTCTATTTACTCTGTCAATCCCCTGTCCCCTTCCAACTATTTTTCTGATTGTGACAGGGAAAAAAAAATTGCAGAAACATACAACCAGAAAGAATCAGGTGGCACCAGCTCCCTGCTGAAACCTTGTGCAGAATAATGCATCAGGAGCCCCCAGCCGCCGCCCCCCCCCCCCACGGGATTTCAGTGGGGAGCTGGTGACACAATTTAAAGTAACATTTCTGAAATGTTGTGGTTCCCCTCCCCTACAAGCAATTTACTCTTTTTTTTAATTAATTTTTTTTAGTTGGGTTGGACACAGTCCTTTATTTTATTTATTTATTTTTATGTGGTGCTGAGGATCGAACCCAGGGCCTCGCCCATGCTAGGTGAGCATTCTACCGCTCAGCCCCAGCCCCATAAAGTCAGAAACAAACAAATATATAAAAGAAGGAAGTGGATCACTTCTGTGCCTTGTCTGCAGGCACTGGGAGCAGCCAGTCCCTGTCCTGCCCCAGAAGGCAGCTGTTTCCAAGCCTCAGGGGTGGACTGAGGTGGGGGGTAGTACCCCTGGGCCGCGTTCCCTCCCTTGGGATTTATTGGTTTTCCACAGATGGAAAGAACCTGTTTTTTTCCCAGGCTGCTATCAATTGTTCTGTGCTATTGCCTTCCTGGGTGCACTGGGCTGGCCGCTGCCTCACGGTCCCTCCCTGAGTGTGGGGAGGCTGGAGGGCCAGCCTGAGGGACCCTCCATCTCAAGGGTGTTGAGCCCCTCTCGCTCCTCTCTGGAGCCTTCCAGGCTAGTCCTGCTGATTTTGCAGTCAACAACCCGTGACCCCTAACTCAGTTAGAATCATGGTGACATATGGCCCCAGCTGGAAGCCACCATAGGAGGCAGGAGGTGGGCAGCAGAGGGAGCAATGGGCCCTCTCTGTCTGGCCAGGCCTAAGTGCTTCTCCTTCAACCTCTGTGCCCCAGGGAAGGCTACAACAACCCACCACTCTCAGGTGAGAACCTAATCGGCCTGAGCAGAGCCCGGCGCCCCCACAATGCCATCTTTGTCAACTTCGAGGACACAGAGGTACCTGTGCAGCCACTGGAGGCTGCCGCGCAGACATGGAAGAAGAACTGCACCAACCCCGCAGACCGGGAGGTGGAGGAGGCGCTGAGGAAGGTGGGCTGTGCCCTGCCAGCCCACAGGCCCCTTGCCCTGACCCTGTTTACCCAGCTGCTCCGGTCCCCTAGCACTGTGGCTTGGCTGTGCTACCCAGTAGTGCACGGGAGCTTTTCACCACCAGACGTAGCATTTGAAAGCCTGCCCCACAAGTTCTGCAGTCCTGAGGCAGAAAGTTCTGAGGGTGCTCGAGTGGCCCCTGGGGTAGCCGGGAGGGTGTGGTGCTAGAATGAGACCCACGTGGAGCTGGCGTCATGGCCTTCCTGCAGCCCTGGACCCATTGCAGCCACATGCCCATGATGCCTCTGCCCCGGGTGGAGCCACTGCACCTGTCCTCTGGCTGTGGTGCTGTGGGGACAGGGTCCTCCCGACCAGCCTGCTTCCCTGGTTAAGCTGAAGTCACCCTGTCCCTGGGCACTGCTGAGAGATGGTCGGCCCCGCTGCGTTTCCAGCTGTCCTCTTCCAACTATTTTTCTGATTGTGACAGTAAACTGTGCTTGTTAGGAAAAAAAAAAATTCAGAAACATACAACCAGAAAGAATCAGGTGGCACCAGCTCTTTGTCTTTGTGGTGTCATAGCCAAGGAACCCACCCTCCGGGTTGGGGCTGTGTGGGGTCCTGGGGCTCCAGCACACCGCCTCACAGGCCTGCACCTGCTGCAGTGTGAGCTGTATGAGGACAGGGACCATGTCCTGTGGCCGTTCCAGGATCCCAGGCCCCATGGTTGGACCTGGCATGTGCAAGGCTCCAATCTGTGCCTCAAAGAGGGAGGGGTGGAGGAGGGAAGGGGTGACTGAGCAGCAGGTGGGTGAGTGCCTGTGTGCTATGGCCTGCTCCCATGGCTGCCCACTGGAAGGGCCTGCTGGGGCTGGGCAGGAGGGTGGGGGCCACTGGTACTTACCATAGGCTCTGCCCTTGACCCTCCCCAGCTATTTGACATCCGTCCCATCTGGTCACGAAATGCTGTCAAGGCCAACATCAGCGTCCACCCTGACAAGCTCAAGGTCTTGCTTCCCTTCGTGGCTTACTACATGGTAAGTGTCAGCTAGCCCAACACCCCCCTCGGTTCCCACCAGTGTGATCCTGGATCCCTGACACGATGTCTTAGAGCCACAGCAGAGCAGGAGACCCTGTCTCCTGGTACCCTTCCCCCTGTCCTGCACCCCAGATGGCTTGTCAAAGCCACTAGAGAGGTTTCCAGCTGCCCACATCCACGATGCACTCACAATCCCTAGTAACGTTTGGCCTATCTGGAGGATTCAGGGTGAAGTAACTCCCTGGCTCGTGGGTGAAGGTTGTGTGCTGTAGAACCAGATAGTGAGAGCTCTCAGGGACCAGGCGCTCTGTGAGACTGGGGGCCCATCACGTTCTTTATCATCCCCAGGGAAAAGCCCAGACTCAGAGAGGTGATGTGACACATCAAGGTTCTGCAAGGCCACCTGGGGCCTCAGCCATCTAGCCACAGGTCCTGGACCCCAACTACAGTGCCACCCGCTTCAGCTCCTTGCACCGGAGTGGGGCAGATTCGTCCCAGGAGGGGGATAGAGACGGGGTAGCATTGCTGAGGTTTCCAAAGGTGCCAGAGGAAAGGGATCTTACCTGCCAAGGGTCCCATGTATGGGGGAGCTGCATACGATGCATACAATGTGACCAGGACTTTGGTGAGAGCAGAAGGAAAGCCAGTTCTCTAGTTCTGTTGGACTCCAGACCCTGGAGAGTCACCATCTGTCACTTAGCATTGGTRTCTTAGCATTAAGTCCTTCAGGGGTACCACCCAGATAGAAGATGGCCTGTGCACCAGGACAGTGCTAGCACTTGGCCCTGTGCCAGCCCATGTTAGGGGCTCCTGGTCTCAGGTGACTCCCAGAACCTGGAGGAAGATGCTCTGTGACCTCCATTGGTGGGCAGCCTGAGGCTTTGGAGGCAGGGTGCCTGTCAAGGTGGCTGAGCCCACGTATGCAGAGCAGGGTGGGTGTTCAGAGTCCTGTCCCCAGCTCTCAGGGTCYGCTGCCTCAGCACAGGGTTTGGTTCCTGCCCTGACACAAGTTACCTGGGTTTTGGCCCACCTAATACTTGCCTTTTCTGTCTCCAGATAACGGGCCCCTGGAGGAGCCTGTGGATTAGATTTGGATATGACCCCCGAAAACACCCAGAGGCCAAGATTTACCAAGTCCTCGACTTCCGACTCCGCTGTGGGATGAAGTATGGTGAGCTGTGAAGAGCTCTGCTTCCCGTCCCCTCTGCCGCCTTCTGTCCTGAGCCTTCTCTTTTGGTAGAGAGTCTGTGGGTCACAGTAGCAGAAACAAAGGTCCTAGCCTGTCCTTGTGCACTGCTGACCCTCATCTCTGAGCCACAGTCCCTAGTTTGCAGTTCCACAGTGACCTGTGGTCATGTGACATGAGGCCTGCCCTGCTAAGTATCTAACTCAGGACCACACGGGTGTCAGTGCCCATTCCCCTATGGTGTGGTGGCCTGGGTCTGCTTTCACAGGAGCTAGCCTGTGAACCGTAAGGCCCTAGCTGCCATCCGGGGGGCCTGGCACCTCCCACATGCCCACCCTCATCTGCAGGATATGGCTCCGGTGAAATGCCTGTCAAAGCAAAGCGCAGTACCTACAACTACAGCCTTCCCATCACTGTCAAGAAGACACGTAAGTGCCCAGGCCCATGCGTGCAGCCAGCAGGAGGGACACTGGGGTGGTGGGCACCAGGGTGGCAGGATGGGGCTCACTCCGGGTTACTACTGGCCCTTCTCCTGGTGGCACAGGAGGGTGTGCTGGATGGTCTTCGAAGTCTCTGCCCATTTGCCTCAGCCCTGTCCTTGCCCTGTGCAGCCACCCAGCTTGTCACCATGCATGACCTGAAGCAAGGCCTGGGCCCTTCGGGGATAGCCGGCCCCCGGAAATTGGCCTCCAACAAGTACAAACTGAAGGTGGGTGTCTTGGAGCCCAAGGAGGGCAGCCCACCGACTGGGGTAGAGGCTGTGGGCAGGGCTGGCATTGTGGGTGGCACTGGGAATGGCTTGGTTGAGGTGGTCCTCTGCCTGCCTGCCTTGGGACCTTCCAGAAACTGAGAGTGAGAACTCAGGGTATGAACTCCCCAGGGCCATGGGGATTGAGGGCCCCTTGGCAGAGAGGTGTTGATCCAGCAGCTGTGTGTGGCTGCCCCTCGTGAGCCTGGACCCCACAGAGGCCTGTAGCTGCCACCTGGGTGGTGGGCATCGGGCACACATGTGCTGCAGAGCCAAACCAGAACTCTGGGGCCCAGTGGAGGCTGGCTGGGAGCTGGGAGGGGCCAGCCCACAGGTGCACAGCGTCACTGGTGTCATCCAGCAGCCCTCGGCACTTCCTAAGCCTTCCACCCCCGGGCTGTGGTGCTCGCGGTGGTCCTAGGGAGGCCAGCAGGTGCCCCACCCTGGAGGCCTGGCTGGAGGAGGGTAAGTGTGAGGCCAGCAGGGGCAGCACGCAGGCCCCTGCGCCCCGCCTGCTGGGTGTTCCAGACCTTAGCACTCTGCTGGATGAGGGTGGCTGTGCCAGCCAGAGGGAGCCTCCTTCCTCTCAAGAACTCAGGCAGTTGTCCCTGTCTCTAGAACCCATGAAGCCCTGCCTTCCTCCTGAGACATCAGGGCAGCATGCAGGGGACATAGAGTGACCAGCAAGCAGCAGTCGATGAGGAATGGATGGCCAGGTCCTGAAGGAAGGCACAGAGGGCAGAGGCCAGCACGGGCTGCTGCCAGCCCCGTGCTGTAAGCTGGCGGCTTCTCCTCACCGCTCTCCCAGAACCCCCAGGGAGTCAGCTGGCTCTGTCACATCTGCTCCCCAGCTCTGCCTGTTTGTCCCCTGGTCCTGGTGACCAGCCTCTTGGAGAGACCCAGGTCCTGCAGCCTGGGCCTTTCCCACTGCCTGCCCTGGGCTCTGGCTAGCTGCTGTTCTCTCCCTCTCCCCAGGACTCAGTCTACATTTTCCGGGAGGGGGCCCTGCCGCCCTATCGACAGATGTTCTACCAGCTGTGTGATTTGAACGTGGAAGAGTATGTACACAGGGGCCTGTGGGACTCTGGGCAGTATGGGGACGTCCCTGGGGACCAGCGTCTCTGCAGCCCTTCCACTGGGTGCTGGCATGGAACTCTCAGCAAGAAGACCCACACTCGAGTGGGTGTTGCTGAGGGCCCTGCCTCAGGCCCCAGCTGTGCCAGCCTTGACCGTGCCTGGTACCAGGCTGGGCCTCTGTGGTCAGGGGTACCCTTGCCCTGCAGCCCCACCATTGCCCACCTGAGGTCCGTGACACAGTTCCTAACTCCACAGCCAGTCAGAATTCCAGGAACCTTTGGTCCACTTGTGCTTAGTGATGTCCAAAAAGTCTGAGGAGTGGGGCACTGGGATAAAGGTGACGGGGCAGCAGGGGAAACGGCTTCTAATCTGAGAAAACAGACTCCTGTCAGAAAAGTGTGTGTGGCACACACCCAGCTCACGTGCAGCTGGGGCCAGGGTCTCGCAGGTTAGGACCTGGCTGGGAGCATGTGGCCCCTCCACCTCACTGCCTGGCCGCTCTGCAGACCACGCCGAGGGCTGTTTCTCAGCACAGTGCCACCTCTGCCAAGATCATCCCCAGCACCCTGAGAGAAACCCTGCCAAGACTGCCCCCTGCATCCTGAGAGAGACCCTGCCAGTTTCCCACACCTCTTCCTGCCCACAGGTTGCAGAAGATCATTCACCGCAATGACGGGGCAGAGGACTTGTGCACAGAGCGGGATGGGTGGTGCCTCCCCAAGACTAGCGATGACCTGAGGGACACCATGTCCATCATGATTCGGCAGACCATCCGCTCCAAGAGGCCTGGTAAGAGCATGGGGTGAAGGGAGGCCAGCTGGGAGGGAGGCCTGGAGAACCAGGACCTAGTCCAGGTGCCAGTGTCCCAACTGAGGTTGCCTGGGTGGAAGTCATGGCCCGGGGCCCTGGGCCCTGGGTCCGAGGCAGAAGCAGGCAGGGATGGGGCTCCAATCCAAGGCCTCTGCCTGATGCCCTGACCTCTTCTCCATCCTCCAGCCATGGATGGGCTGACTCTGCCCTGGCTTCTTCCACTGTGGGGAGCAGGGACAGGAGGAGCCTGTGGCCCATTGCTGCTCTGCCTTCCCAGGCTCCTTCCCCAACTGGGGTCAGGGCTGGCCACTGGGGAAGCAGGGCCAGCACTTGCTGGGCTGTGCTTTGAGGAGGTTGGGAGAGTGATGAGGCCTCTGGGGCTCTTCCCAGGATAGGGCCAGAGCAGAGGCTTGTGGTCTTGCTTAAGTCGCAGACACAGCCCGTTTGGGAATCCAGTCAAGGCCACACACCTCTCCCAGAGATGAAGGTGGGCCTGGAGGCCACCCGTGGCTCTGCTGGGACAGAGGTTTCAAACCTGCCTGCTCCCGTGTGCTCTGGGATGCTTGTTAGACTGCAGCTTCCTGGGCCCCCAGTGCTTYCCACAGCCGCCAGTACCTAGCACGGAGAGCAGGCTCTCAGCAGCCCTGCATCCCATTGAGGGCCACCTGCAAAGCCCACATGGGACACACTGTCTGATTTCCTCCTGGCCCAGCACTCTTCTCCAGCCCAGCCAAAGCTGACCGTGCAAAAGGGCAGCTGATGTTCGAGTCTGGGGAAGATGAAGAGGAGGAAGAGGAAGAGGAAGAAGAAGAGGAGGACTTCAAGCCCTCGGATGGGAGTGAGAATGAGATGGAGACGGAGATTCTGGACTATGTGTGACAAGACCCTCATCCCCAGGCTGACCAGGGGACTGGTGTCCATCCTGGTGTGGGAGCCATAGCAAGCTGTGGTCCCCACTGTCGTCCACAGTAGCAAGGCTGGCCCCAGAGGCCCCTCTGAGGAAAGCGGGAGTCCCAGGGGGACAGGCCCTGGCCCTGGCTGTGGCCTGCTGCTCCGTGCTACCCTTTTCTCTGGATGTTCCTGGCTTCACGCACTCATAACACAGGCCCGAGTTTGGCAGGCTGAACTGGTGCTCACRACCTCTGGCTGAGGGAGAGCCAGCKGCGGAGATGTGCACTGGCACAGCCCGTCCCAGCAGGGGCCTCGTGACCAGTGGCAGAGATAGGTACCGCAGTCCACGTCACAGATGGCCAAAGACTGCCCTCGGGGCTCCCATAGTGCATTAGTAGTTCCTTCACTCACCCGGTGAAGTGCTGGTAGTGCTGGGACAGTTGGCACCGGCCTAAGCCCCTCRTTTGGGTGAGACGAGGACATTGGGAGTAGCCCAAGGCTAGGCTTGTTCCTGACTTCCAAATGGATATGATCTTCAGAAGTTCCCAGAAAGAGTTCTTGTGTCACAGCTTCCCCGTGTGGACTCTCCTGTCCTTGCAGAGCCTGCCTCCTGTGCCCCAGGGCAGCAACACCAAGGCCCTGAGCCGGATGGGCCTTGGCCTGCTTTTCTGTGTGGCTATGAGTCCCTTCAGCAGCATGGCAGGCAAAATAGAAACACATTAGTCTCAAAACCAAAGGCCTCAGACCAGCCCCATTCTGCTGACCAAGTTCCTGGGAAGCCCCCTCCCATGACAACATCAGGAACCCAGTGGCTCAGCCCAAGTGGCTAGGCCTGGGAGCCAGCTGCGCAGGGGAAGCAGGCCAGGTGGCTCACTCCCTGCAGCTGGGAGAAGCTCAGCCCAGAGACCGAGACGGCCCCTGCCTAAGGATAGGCCGCCCAGGCCTGGCCCGGCCCCTGGCCATAGTTTCCCTCAGGAGCAGCTGGCCTCTGCCAGGTCTCCGCTGGGGCCACTCCCGCTTCCTCTGCATCACTAACCCCAGTCCTCAGGGAGGGCCTCTGGGTTCTGGTCCCATCTTCCCAGGAGCACCTTGGTCCCTGTGCAAATCTGGGGAGGTGCTAGGACAACTAGGTGCCAGCACAACTAGGCCTTACCCTCCTCCCCCAGAACCTAGGACAGGGCTGGTCCTGCCTCAGGTCTGCCCAACCAGAAGGGCTTCCCAAGGTCTATCAGATTGCGAGAGGTATGGTGGCTTCTTCCTCCCTTTTAATAAACCTTGCACCGTGAGAAATGTCAGGTAAGTGCCCAGCAACTTGCACGCCGTGGTGCAGTCTCACTGCGTCCGTCCTCGGGAGCCCCGTGCTTCCTGGCTCCAGCTCAGAGCTGCTGCTGCATTTGAGCAGCAGTTACGTGTGTGCTGCTCGGGCTTCTCCAGGAGAGCAGACCTGTCCAGCCCCGTGTGGGCAGAGATTTACATCTAGGAGCTGGCTCCTGTGGCAGTGGAGGAGCAGGTCCCACGACTGCAGGCGGCAGTGGCTGGCAGTGTGCTGGCAGGGTCCTTGCTCAGGCCAGGTCTGCAGGTGAACTCTGATTGGGTGAGGCTCACCCATCACCCACATRGAGGGTGATCTGCTAAAGTCCCCAATTTAAACATTTATTTCGTTCAAAAAACACCTTCACAGAAGCCTCTAGAATAATATTTGACCAGTTGTCTGGACACAACCAGGTGTCCAGACACATAAAGTTAACCATCACAGTACCTAACAAATCTCCAGTGACTTCTTAGTATATAATCCTGTTCCATATTCCCGTTCCCCTGATTGCCTTAAAAATGTCTTTTTGCTTTTGGGTCATGGGTCAGACGAGTTCGCCTCTCTGCCGTCTGCCTTCACCACAAAGTGACGGCTCACAGCCCACACCACGAGCTGAGGTGTGCTGGCACCATGCTCTGGGGCCTCGAGGCCACCAGCCCAAAGAACCCTCTTTACAGCTCGCGCGGTCCAGGCCTCCTGTTACTCCAGTGGGAAGCCAAGGGCTGTTTGTCCTGTGGAGTGTCCCTGCTCTGGCTTTGCCTGGTTGCTTCCTCATGGTGGTATTGGTCGTGCTCTGCTGTCCCCCTTATTTCCTGAGAACCGGAGGAAGACACCTAGGCAATGCCCTCAGGGAGACACGGGATGTATGTTCATCCAGGTGTCAGTCCAACCGTTGGTCTTTCACCTGGTGGTTTTTATCAGCTACTGATCAAATAGTCACCTGAATTGGATACTTCTTTTTTTTTTTTTTTCTTTTTGGTACCAGAGATTGAACCCAGGGGCTCTCAACCACTGAGCCACATCCCTAGCCCTTTTTAAATTCTTTTATTTTGAGATAGGGTCTCACAAAGCTGCTTAAGGCCTCTCTAAGTTGCTAAGGCTGGCTTTGAGCTTGCAATCCTCCTGCCTCAGCCTCTCGAGTCTCTGGGATAACTAGTGTGTACCACCGTGCCTGGCTTGAATACTTCTTCAGTGATGGCAAAGTAGTTACTTTAAGAATTCTGGGGCTGGGGTTGTGGCTCAGTGACAGAGTGCTTGCCTTGCACATGTAAGGCACTGGGTTCAGCACCACATAAAAATAAATAAAAGATATTGTGCTCATGTATAACTAAATATATATTTAAAAAAAAGAATTCGGTTCTCTCTGCATTTACTGGTTGGAAGACTAAAGGATTCTTCCTTATCCATTTGATTACCTTGAAATACCATTTGGACAGGAAAGAGGTAAATATCTGTTTTCCCCTTAGTCAGTTTCCAGAATGCAGTGGCCCTTGACCAACGATGTGGTTACAGCGCCATGACCGAGTTGGGGTAGAAAGTATCCTAAGTGGGAAAATGCAGCTCCTTCCCCAGCCTGCGTCACACACACACAGAGCCCACCGGTTGGCCTGCAGTGGGGCCAAGCCTGCTTCACACTCAGGTCTGACCCTCGTGTAGCTGAACACCCTATTGAAAGTGAAGGGCAGTGGTTGTCTTGGGTAAAGCTGAACMGGGAAGCCTGCTTGTCTAACACGGTGCTCTGGCAGTGGCCAGGGATGAGGTGGGCAGTCTCTCCTTCCAAGCTTGGTAACTTGTTTCAGTCAATTGCAGAAGACTTTTCTTTTTCTTTTTAATTTGTTTTTGTGTGTGTAGCTGGAGATGGACAGATTGCCTTTATTGGCTTATTTTTATGTGGTGCTGAGGATGGAACCCAGGGCCTCACACATGCTAGGCAGGCGCTCTGCCGCTGAGCTAGGGCCCCAGCCCTGCAGGATGCTTCTTGACACCCACCTTGTCTGCCTTTGGCTGAGGGGCCTCAGAACTGCCCCTGCAGGCTTGGGGTCCCATCAGGTCCTTGACTTTCCAGCCCATGAGGCCCAGGCTCCACCGTGTGCTTCCTCCTAAGGCATGGTTTGGGCAGGAAGTGCACGTGGTTTCAGAGGCTTCAGTCTGGTCCCTGGGCCCACTTACTTTGGGCCTGTGGCAGCAAAGTACATCCTGATGGTGGCAACGTGACTAAGGAGGGAAGCAAAGTGAAACCCAGGGGCTGAGGTCCCAGTAACCCCTCTGGGGCACACCCCCAAATGCCCCAGCTTCCCCCCAGTGGGGCCCTCCTCCTACAGGTTCCACCACCTCCCAATAGCACCACAGCTGGGGACCAAGCCTTCAACACAAGGGCCTCTGGGGGACATTCAACACAGATCACAACACTAGGTGTGAAGATGGTGTTTAGAGACCACAGTCTGGTGGTGCTCCTGGATTTCTTCCCTGCCAGGGCTTTGAATAGGGAGAGCAGGAAATGTGTATTTCTCTGTAAAAAGAGTTCAGATATTCCCAAATGAAATGTAAGATGTAGGGTTTTACCTCTCATTTTACAGCTACACTGAAGAATCTTGAGTCTTGACAACACCAGCACTGCTTATTGTCTTTCTTTTATAACATACATGCACCAATTTCAAAATATAAAACATGACTAACCATATAATGATGAACTTAGATACCCTAAATGTTTATAAATGATCAAGTATATAAAGTTGTGGGGAGCCACATAAGTCACCACCCCTTCCAGTCCTGATGCACCACGGGGATCTGAAAGATCACTGCAATCCGGTGCCATAGTGCCATGACTCATGACTCGGTCTCTCCCCCACTCAGATAGCAAGGCCAGTCTTCTGAGTAGGCACAACACCCTGGGGTTGAGCTACACTCACATGTTCTTTTGTAATCCTACCCCTTTACCCTGTTTGAGATAGAATGTTCCATGGAAATGCCCTTTGTGTGTCCCCTTGTCTTGCTCTGCCTTTGTGTGAGGCCTTCCTAGGTGTCAGTCAACCTGCTGACAGTGGACATCATGAAGCTAGACTCAGCCCCCTGAAACCTGACCCCTGGCCTCATTTGGGTGGCTTCTCCTCAATAAAAGGGTCAGCACGTGCCCCTCACTCTCTTTTTCACAGACCCCTAAGGTTAGAGGAGCCGTCATAGGACCCAAAGAAAAAGGCATTTCTCTCTGTGTGATTATTTCATGCTGCCCAGTTCACCTGGAGTGACCCTGAGTGTTCAGTTGCGAAACTCGACATAAAGCAATATGTGATTAAAGTAAGGATTATTATGCTAAGGATTATGTAAGATTGCTTTGCTTTTTTCCCTCCAAGTGAGTTCTGCTACAGATACACAATTTTGTTTCCAGGTTGTTTGAAGTCAGAGGAATCCTCCTTAGGCCACCTGCTGATATACCTGTGTCTCCTGCAACTTTGAACTGATCTTTCTCTGTCTGTAAAACAAGATTTAAGTTTCCTACCTGATAACCAAGAACTGTCAGCCCTAATATTTGCTAGGCCCAGAACTTCTCGTCATGGTCTCCCTCAGGGAAAGTCCTGGTAGGGACATGTGAGGTCCAGAGAGGCCAAACCTCAGCCAGGCCACACAGCAGTAGTGGTCCAGATTGTGACTCTGCTTTGTATGACACCAGCACATGTACATTTGCCCTCGCAGAAGAAAGTTCTCCCAGTCCCGCCCAAAACTTGTTAAAAATTACTTCCCTAAGTTCTATATGCTCTTAAATCAATTGAGTTAGTTTCCTACTATGTCAACCATAACAGTTTAACACTTTTTTTAAACATTTTTTTTAGTTGTAGTTGGACACAATGCTTTTATTTTATTTATTTGTATGTGGTGCTGAGGATCGAACCCAGGTCTTCACTTGTGCTAGATGAGCACTCTACCGCTGAGCCACAACCCCAGACCCACAGTTTAACACTTTGATACTTTCAGCCTGGCTTTCTTGGAGGTCACAGAACTTCCAAGCATCTGAGGGTGGCTGTGAAATCTGTCCACAGAAAAATATGCACGCCACAAATACATTAGATCCAATGTCAACAGCTCTCCACGGCCTGCCCTTGAGCTTCCTAACAGGGCCACCAACAAAGATTTGGAATTCCAAGTCCAGTGTCTGATTAGATTTTGTCATCCAAATTACTATAGTGCAGCTGGTGGGGAGCAACCCCACTGCCTCTGGTTTTGCCTGATTTTCCCATTCTGGCCTTTTGTGAGAGCTGGGACGATGTCCCAAGACAGGGCAAGTAGCAGCTGAGGCTGAGGTCGCCATCCCCCACAATCCCCCAGGGGCAGAGGGGCTGAGGCTGAGGGCAGCCCAAGGAGCAGACCCCGGGGCTCTGTGGTCGCAGACCTCACACAGGTATCAATTCTCCAAGGCAGAGGCAGCTCATAGACACGTCTGACTGGCATAGCCAGGCACCCTGGGGTGAGTTTATTTTTGGATGGACAATGTTAGTCTCTTCTGGGTGTTTCTGGAAAGGCTCATTCATTCTTTGTTAGGTTTTGTGGATCACCTACTCTGTGCAGGACCATGTGGGTCCTTGGTAAATAAATAAATGACCACCCTTTTTGTTAACTGGACATCCACATACAGCAAAGTGAATCTAGACACAGAAAAATTCATTCCCGATGATCCCAGACCCAAGTGTAAGCCGACCTACAAGATAACAGGAAAGAGCTACATGGTCCTGGGTTGGCATGGCTTTTTAATGCAACACCAAAGCCAGGATGCATGAATTAAAATTAAACATTCTGTTATTTGAAAGAAACACTGAATTAAAAAATAAGCCATAGACTGGGAAAAAAATGTTAGCCAAAGATCTATGTAAATAAACACGCAAGAGTGCCGGCAGCTCAGCAGTAAGAAAACAACTCAGTTACAACACGGGACAGAACTCAGCAGATACCACCAYAGAAGATGAGGATGAGCAATCATCTGAGGGATGCTCCCAGTCATGTCACCAAGGAAGTGTCAATCAACCACAGTGACATGCCATTTCATGCTGTAAGAATGGCCTGAATCCACACAACTTGATAGCATCAAGTGCCGGCGGGGATGTGGAACAGTGAGCACACTTAGTCATCACAGCTGGGAATAAAAATGTCCAGCTCTTCCAGAGGCCGTGTGGCAGATTCTGTAAAAATGCAGCAATCTCACTTGGTTTTTACGTGAAGCTGAAAACTTAGGTTCACACAAAAACTTGCACGTGAGCATTTGTAGCAGCTTTATTCATAACTTCCTGAACTTGAAGGCAACCCATATATCCATGAGCAGGGGAGTGGGTAGACAAACGGTGGCAATCCAGATGACGGCTACCATCCAGGGCCACAAGGAAAAGCACGATCACCCAAGGGAGGACATGGAGGGACCCAACTGCGCCATACCTAGTGTGCAAAGCCACTCTGAAAAGGCTCTCACTGCCCAGTTCCAACTGCTTGACATTCTGGAAGGCAAAACCAAGAAGATCGAAGATCAGTGCTCCAAGGGGGTGGTTGCGGGGGTGATGGGGGCACATGGGGTTTTTAAGGCAGTGCTGCTAATCTGAATGATCCCATAATAATGGAGACAYGGCCTCATACATTTGTCCAATCCCATAAAATGTCCAATGCCAAGAGTAACACCATCCCGTACGCTTGGACTTGGTGTGACGACGTGTCTGTGTGGGCTCCTTCATTGTAACAGATGTCCCCCTCCAGTGAGTGTGGATCCTGCAGAGGGCTACAGATGTGTAGGGGCAGGCAGACATGGGAACTCCATCCTTTCTACTATAAAAATTTGATATGAGCCAGGTGAGGGGGTGCCTACCTGTAATCCCAGCTACTTGAGACGTAGTGGCACCCCTGCCTTCACAGAATATCTTAACTAAGCTCCTCCAGAAACCTTCACCATAATTGATTTCAGTACCATCAGCAAAAGAGTCTCCACAAAACAGAAGAGTTCAGTGGAGGTGAACTTCCTATTTTGGCCTGTTGCTCTATTTTACTTGGCCGCTGGCCTGGGAGAAATCAGCACTCCAGGTGCTGGACACCCCTTTCCTAGTTTTCCATAAACATTTATCCAGTATCGTAATTTGTAAAAGTGTGTTTGCAAATGCAAAATTTGATTTAAAAAAAAAAAGACAAATCTTTTAACAAGGCCTCTGGCCTTGAGCTGGGCTTCACAGAGATGTCTACTTTTCTAAGATATGAGAAGTTACCAGTTGGGCTCCATAGTAACAGCTGGCAGGGGAGGAAAGAAAGGGGAGAAGCAGCTCCCCCTTCTCAGGTGTGGTCCTTGAAGGGTTAACTTGCCCAGAACAGTGAAAGAAAAAGCTGCTTTTGTGAGAACTTTTTTTCTGCAGACTGGGAACTTCTGAGYCCCTCCCCTTACATGCTGGGTGTAGAGTTCTGAAATGACCTGAACTAGGGGTTCAGGAGATATTGATTACAGTGAAAGCTGTGCCCTCTGAACCTGGCTGCAGCCAAATAAAACTGTTTCCTGCTCTCTTGTTGCCTCGTGCGTCCCTGAAATAAGGAGGCTGAGGCAGGAGGACCACAGGGTTGAGGCCAACCTGGGCAATTTCACAAGACCCTGTTTCAAAATAAAGTGTAGGGGCTGGGGACATAGCTCAGTGTAGAGTGCTTGCAAGTGCAAGAACTAGCTGGGTTCAACCCCCAAACCCACAAATAAATAAATGAACAAAGAGGCCTCCTTCCCTCCTGCCTGCCTACCCTCTGCACTCCTCCTTCCACCTCAGCTTCTAGAAACAACACCTCAGAAATATCCTGGAGCGAAGTCCCCCCCTTCAGGAGCACTTCCTGTTTCCCAGAATTGGAGCAGCGGGCAGACAACCAGGCCCAGGGGCGTTTCCCTTTCCACTCCTGCCCGCCGCCCTTCTCCCCACCTTTCTCTGGCCTCTGTCCCCTGGCATCACAAAGACCAGACGCACAGGTGTGGATCTGCAGATCCCTGCCAGGCCTGGCCTCTGGCCACGGAGGGGCAGCAGGGTCTGTGGTCAGAGCCAGAGGCACAGCTCCTGGGTGGGTCTGGCTGCGCCTGGCCAGCCAAGGTCCCCACCACCGATGGAAGAGGACTGTGCAGTGTGTGGGGCGCCCCAAGGTCTTCAGTGCAAGGTGACCTCAGGTGCAGGCAACTCCTCAAAAGCACCCTCTTGGGACTTGGCTCATGGCTATCTGTCACTTTGATAACCTTTTCTGGTTTCAGAGTGACATGTATTCCCAGAAAAGCTAGTGGCCTCTTTGGAGATAACCACCACCCACCCCTTCCTCTGTTGTCAACTCCCCCAAAGCCTGCCTTTCCCTCTCCCTGGCTCTGTCTCTCTCTGCTCGTGTGCCCCAGGACCCTTGCATGGGCCATTTCCATGGCCAGTTCTTCCTCAGAGATGCCTCCTGTGCTGCCCCCATCCACACAGAGACCCTTGTCACCCCCCAGTGCTCTTAGTCTGGCATTCTGGCCCCTGCCCCTAGCCAGGCTGTGCACCCAGGGGCCTCCAGTAAGAGCTTCTTGAGCCAGCCAGGGTCCGCCAGCTGGTGCCCAGTAGCCCCAGCCACCTCTGCCTAGAAGTCCCACACTAGTCCCCATCTACTGCGGCTGAGCTAGGGAGCAGGCCGGCACTTCTCTGAAGGGAACACCACCTTCTGGCAAATGAACAGGAGTTCAGGGCGCCCAGCACCCAGCCAGGCCCGGCCGGGCAGCCCCACGTGCCACCTGCCTTTGCTCCCATGAGGCAGTAACCTACACAGGTGCACTGTGGGCACCAGCCAGGCACGTGGAGCAGCCCGCCCTGAGAGATGGCCCCTACTGCCTGAGAGTGTGTGCGCACACACTGACCTTGGCTCCAGTTCCATAAATACCCGGGGCATGGAGGCAGGGCCACCTGGAAGCAGGGCCACCTGGAGACAGACACTCGTCATGGGGCGCCTGGGGCTGGTCGTCCTGGGCCTCGCCTGCTGCTTGGCCGGGGCAAGCGCTGCAAAGGTAAGCGAGAGCCCCGCAGAGGGGCCAGGCGCCCGGGGGCCCTCTCCTCGCTGACCCAGATCAGGAAACTGTGGGGACAGGGCCTGTAGAAGGGAGGACAGACAGAGCAGTCCCAGCAGAAACAGCCAGAACAAGAGACCCAGCGAGCCCACCAGCCCCGGGGGCTGTGGCCGCCCAGGCCCTCCCTGCCAACCCGCTCACGTGAGGCGGAGCCCCTGTGAGGCTGGACTTCAGAAAAACCACGAGCAACTGTTGGTGGGGGGCATCGGTACGACTGTCCACTGCCCGACTGAGGTTCAGTTGCCTGGGCCCTTGAAGGTTGCTGGCCAAGTCGGGCCATCCTACCTGCAGCCCCGCTGATACCCACCTCCCTGTCTCATGGAAGGGAAGGCAGGGCCCTGGGCAGACAGGCCAAGTGCCCAGCGTCACATAGCCACCACTTCTGTTCTCAGCAGGAATCYGAATCTGGGCAGTTCAAGCCAGGCTCTGGCTCCCAGGGCCACCTCCATGTCTTGCTCRCCCCCTCCCCCCCCCACAGGGGCACTGAGCCCAGCTGGCCACGTGCAGGGCTCCCCCCGAGGTAGGGCTGCACCGGCCTTCTGGGGCATCTGCAAAATCTGCCCTTTAACTGGCTTCCGGAGGCGTGAGGAGCAAGTCACGAGTCCCCAACAGACACACAAAGTCAGAGAGGGCGTAGTCCCCGTCCCCAGCAGGACTCACACAGGGCCTCCAGGCCCTCACCGCACTCACTGCCACCCCCCGTTCTCTGTCCATCCCTCATCCTGCTCCCCAGCCCCCAGGACTCCTTCCAGGTGGCCCTTCTCTACCTACTTCTGCCCCTGGGTCCTGCCCCGGAACCTGGAAGTCAGGGACCTGGCACTGGGTCCCTTCTGTCACAGAGGGGAAGTCATGATTTTTCTTGGGAGGGTTTTTGGGGTTCCCCCCACTGCTCCGGTCCCCCACCGACAGTCATTGCTCCCTATACTGCCACTTCTCTTATTCTAGGTCCCCACACCCCAAAGCCCCCACCCTGAAGCCCTCAGACCCGTCTCAACCACTCACAAACCCCTCTGAGAAGGACTGTCTCCTCCCTGGAGCCCTGGCTTGGCCCTCTACCTCCTCCCAGTGGCTTGGGGGATGGAACGAGGAAGTCGGGGGGCCTGCCAGGGTGGCAGGGTGCCAGCAGTGTCAAGAGGCTCCCTCTGGTCCACAGTCCCTGCCGGCCCCGCTCTCCCACCTGGTGTGACAGGGGTCCGGCAGCTTAGGCTTCAGACTGGGTGCAGGCCTGCTTCCTGCCACCCAGGACCTGGCTCGGGAGAGCCAGAGAGCTGGGGCTGCCACCACTCTCCTCACAAGGGGAGCTGCTCTGCAGGACCTGGGCCCACAGGAGACAGCGCCCAGAGGGCGCAGGCTGGGCAGCCACTTCCCAGCAGGGTGACTTTAAGCAGGAAGGCCACTGAGCCTCAGCTCCTCCGGGGCAGCAGGCAGCTGAGCCCCTACCTCCAGGACCCTGTGAGGATGGACGCCCGGAGCAGTCCTGCTGGCTGGGGTGGGATGGGGAGCTCCCTGGTGGGTCTTCCCACCATCTGGTGGCCTGCTGGCCCTGGGGGAGGCTCTGTGGTGTCCCGTCTTACAGATCAGGAAACTGAGGCTCCAGGTCTCAGATAGGCAGCTTCGGCCAGAACCCACACGTCCACGCTGGCTGAGGGGCCACTCTGGATCTCTGGGGCTAGGGTGAAGGGACAGGAAGCCAGGCCCTCCAGCACGCTGGGCGGGGAGCAGCKGCCTGCCTTCTTGGGGCCTCCTTTGATGCTGTCTCTGGGGAGCCTCTGGCCCCCTGGTGCCTCTTGGTTGGCCACTCCGGATTCCGGCCAGCCAGGTCCCAGTCTGCTGACCTTGCCGCCTCTCCCTCAGCTGGGTGCCGTGTACACTGAAGGAGGCTTCGTGGAAGGTGTCAACAAGAAGCTGAGCCTCCTGGGTGGCGACTCTGTCGACATCTTCAAGGGCATCCCCTTTGCCACTGCCAAGACCCTGGAGAATCCCCAGCGTCACCCCGGCTGGCAAGGTGGGAACCGTGGGTGCTGGGCCAGCCTGGGTGGGTGGTGAGGGCGCTGCCCTCCTCACGCCAGCCCCTCCCACTGCCCGCAGGGACCCTGAAGGCCAAGGACTTCAAGAAGCGATGCCTGCAGGCCACCATCACCCAGGACAACACCTATGGGGATGAAGACTGCCTCTACCTCAACATCTGGGTGCCCCAGGGCAAGAAGCAAGGTCTGCCTCTCAACCCCCAAGGAAACCCCACATCAGAGCCCCGCCCCCGGCCGTGTCTGGGGGCTGCGGGCTGAGCTCCCTGGAAACCGACACAGAGGCGGCGAGGGAAGCGCCCACCTCTGGTCCCCAGCCTGGGAGGAGGTGCCTGCTGCACGAGGGCAGGGGACTGGCTGAGGAGAGGGCTGCGTGGCATCTGAGTCACCTGGCCTCTTCCTGCGTCTCAGTCTCCCGGGACCTGCCGGTGATGATCTGGATCTACGGAGGCGCATTCCTCATGGGGGCTGGCCACGGGGCCAACTTCCTCAACAACTACCTGTATGACGGGCAGGAGATAGCCACGCGTGGGAACGTCATCGTTGTCACCTTCAACTACCGCGTCGGCCCCCTGGGCTTCCTCAGCACGGGGGACGCCAACCTGCCAGGTCTGTGGGAGGCTCTGGGGTGGGTCCTCAGCACCCCTTGGCCCCAGAAAGATCCTGAGAACCCCACAGAAAGGCCCGAATCCATTCCCAGAGCCGGGAAGTAAGCTGAGTGACGTGGGGAGACAGGAGGCTGCGAGAGGCCAAGGGGAGGGGGGCAGGGAAGCCCGGGGAGACCAATGACACACTGGGGCAGAGTCAGGGGTGGACACTGAAGCCACAGGACAGACAGACAACAGGAGGGACTGTGGCAGGGACGGGGGAGATGAGCAGGCCTAGCCAGACTACTGCCCTTCCCTGTCCCAAGCCCCACATCCCTTCAACAAATGTCTTGGGGCCCCGTCTGCCCCAGGATCTCAATGCCACTGAGGACAATTCCCTCCTCCCATGTTGCTTCACCTGTTGAGTCAGCCCTGGGTGCCCGCAGCCCCCTGCCAGCCCCAGCTCAGGTCTGGACAGACTCCTCCCCTCACCCCGTCCCAGGTAACTATGGCCTTCGGGATCAGCACATGGCCATCGCCTGGGTGAAGAGGAACATTGGGGCCTTTGGGGGGGACCCCAACAACATCACCATCTTTGGAGAATCAGCGGGAGGTGCCAGCGTCTCTCTGCAGGTTGGCGGGTCCCTAAGAGGAGGGCTTTCTGCAGGGTTTGGAGGGGCAAGGGGGAGCCTGGAGTACCCTGGCTGGTGTCCTCAGCCAGGGCCAGCCTGGGTGACAGGACTTCCGTATTGCAGACCCTCTCCCCCTACAACAAGGGCCTTATCCGGCGAGCCATCAGCCAGAGCGGTGTGGCCCTAAGCCCCTGGGCCATCCAGAAAGACCCACTCTTCTGGGCCAAGAAGGTAAGTGGAGGAGGGCAGAGAATGGCAGGCTCGGGTTCTGCTAGAGCCCCCGGGCGCCTCCTGCTTTCTACCCTCCGCCTGGATCGTATCCTTGCCCGCAGACTGCTCCCTGCCTGGTCACCTGCCTACCTTATTCTGCCCCCAGGTTGCCAAAAAAGTGGGCTGTCCCTTGGATGACACCGCCAGGCTGGCCAGGTGTCTGAAGATCACCGACCCCCACGCCCTGACCATGGCCTACAAGGTGCCCCTGGCAGACCTGGAGTGTGAGTGGGTGCTGCTGGGGGAGAGCGGGGACCTATGGGGTGGGAGGCCACTGCCGGGCAAGGCCAAGCTCCTGGAGAGGAGAGGAAGGCACTGGGCCTGGGGCCAGGCCACTCTCTGGATTGTGTCCCTAGACATCTCAGTGTCCCACTGCACCCCCTGCAGGCCTCAGGGGCTCCTGGAGGGAGGGGTCTCCTACTGTCTGTGAGTCATGGTGCCCCCTTTGAGAAGCTGATAACATGGGCCCCATGCCCCCAACAACACGTACGCGCAAGGACTCACGCACATTTTAGAGAGGTCCCCAGGCCCAGCGTCCCGTGCTCCACACCCTCTCCCTCTTCCTCCCGCAGCTCATTCAGCAAACACTGGCTGAGCATCTACAGTGCTGGGCTCTGCAGGCCCCGGCAGGGACTCCCCTGCTTGCCGGCTCGGCAGCTRGAGTCCCGCTCTCTCTCCCAAAGCAAATCTAAGGAAGCCTTACGTTTGCCTCTTTAACTACTGCGAATGCAAAGCCAAAGCCAAAGAAAATCAGAGGGCTCAAATGCAAACCGACCCTTTTTTCCCCGGTTTTGGGTGTGGGGATAAACCCAGGGCCTTGTGCTTGCTAAGCATGCTCTCTACCAACACCACAGCTATCTGAAGGAGTGGAACTAAAGGCACGGCCTCGCCCTGCCCTGAACCAGCTGTCGGGTCCTCTGGGTGCTGGTCGGGGTTCTGGAAGGCTGCAGACTTGCCCATGGCGGAACCCAGCCCGGTAGTGGGCACCTCCTCCTCCCTCACTCTCAGCTCTTGCTTGTTCCTGATTCAGGTTGAGTGAGAAGAGAGGGAGGAGAGGGGTGCCTGCCCCTGGGGCGAGAGGACGAGGCCCTGTGGCAAGGTTTGCAGACATGTTGATTGACGCAGCTGGAGGGGTGTCACGGCATCCAGCGGTGGAGGCCAGGGATGCTGTGCCACCTCCCACCCTGCACAGGACAGCACGTCCCACAGCGAAGCGTTATCCAGTCCCAAAGTGTCCAGGTCCAGGGTTGAGAATCTCTGATAGACCAGAGAAGGAAGGAGATGGACTCAGGCTGTACAAGGCCGATGGGAGGGCCAGGTGGACACGGCAAGGTCCAAGAGCCCCTTGTCTCTCCACCCAGACCCCGTGCTTCACTATCTGGCCTTCATCCCGGTCATCGATGGAGACTTCATCCCCGATGACCCCGTCAACCTGTTCGACAATGCTGCCGACACAGACTTCTTAGCAGGCACCAACAACATGGATGGCCACCTCTTTGCAGGCGTGGACTTGCCGGCCATCAACAAGAACAACCAGGACATCACAGAGTGAGCAGGGGCACAGGACCCCGGGGCCACATGCTGGAGGACAGCTGGGGAGGCTAGCAAAGGCTCAGCAGGCGGTTGAGTGCAGGAAGTCGGTGCCAGGTTGGGGTGGTACTAGGGGAGGGCGGTTCTAGGTGGAGGGTCCAGTGCCTGCTTGTTCCCTTCAGAGAGGACTTCTACAGGCTGGTCAGCGGGCTCACTGTCACCAAGGGGCTCAGGGGTGCCCAGGCCACCTTCGACATCTACACTGAGTCCTGGGCCCAGGACCCCTCCCAGGTGACCAGGAAAAAGACTGTGGTGGACCTGGAGACTGACATTCTTTTCCTGATGCCCACAGAGATCGCCCTGGCACAGCACAGAGCCAAAGCCAAGTGAGATTCTGGGAAGTGGGTGCCTTCCTGGGGGGAGGGGCCATCTAAGATGCTTCACCTTACTTCTGAGGCCTCTTGGCCGACTAAACAAATACAGTGAGCTTCCCATCAGTCAAGGCAAAAAGGGAAACAAATGTGGACACATACCTTACCTTGTCCAATCAAAAGAGAAGTGCGAATTCACATGGAGAGGAAAAAGCCCTTTCTTGATACTAAATTACAGGAGCAAGGTGCCTCAAATATCTTATAGAGGTGAGGCATAAACATGATCGAACTGTGGAATTCATGAATTTGGGCTGCGGCTCTTCCTTCTCCAGGTGTGAATACCCCACTTTTTTCATGGGTTCGGGTGGGAATTCCCCAGCTCTTTTTCTGCTCCCCCACTAGCCTCCCCCAGGGCCCACTTCCAAGTGTCCCTTCCAACCCAGCTGTCTGTCCACCCCTCAGGAGTGCCCACACCTACTTCTACCTGTTTTCCCATCCCTCTCGGATGCCCGTCTACCCCAAATGGATGGGGGCCGACCATGCTGACGACCTCCAGTATGTCTTTGGAAAGCCCTTTGCCACCCCGCTGGGCTACCGGCCCCAGGACAGGACTGTCTCCAAGGCCATGATTGCCTACTGGACCAACTTTGCCAGAAGCGGGTAAGGTGTGGGTGGAGCCAACAAGGCCTCCTGCCGCTGCCCCCCTGCCTGCCAGTGGGGAGACTTGGGCAAGTCATTTAGCCCGAGCCTCCGTGTCCCCTTCTGTGCCTGAGGATAAAAGCTGCCCACAGAGCCCAGGATCTCAGCCAACGCTGGGCCACAGATGGGTCTTCAGAGGGCCAGGGCTGTGCAGGGTGTGGACATGGAGCTGCTGGAGCTCAGAGYTGCAGCCTCCCGGGAGCCCTGGGACTGCCCAGCCTCTTCTCACTCTGCAGGGACCCCAACATGGGCCACTCGGCCGTGCCCACACATTGGTACCCCTACACCCTGGAGGACGGCAGCTACCTGGAGATCACCAAGAAGCTGGACAGCAGTTCCATGAAGCAGCACCTGAGGGCCAACTACCTGCAGTACTGGACGCAGACCTACCGGGCACTGCCCACAGTGGTGGGTGAGGGGGCCACCCCAGGGGCCCCCGCCAATGACTCCCTGGCTCCCCCACTCCCCCCCACCAACGACTCCCGTCCCCCCCCATTCCCACCCGCCAATGACTCCCGTCCCCCCCTATTCCCACCCGCCAATGACTCCCGTCCCCCCTTATTCCCACCTGCCAATGACTCCCTGGCCCTCCCAGTACCCCCTCTGGACCAGTCCCAGGGCCCCCCAGCTCCCCGTGGATGACCCCYAGACTGTAGCAGCACCTCCCGCGGACAATCCCGAGGGGGCTCAGATTCCTGTAGTCACTGACTCCTTTCTTCTGTGTTTCAGGAGCCTCAGCCCCATGAGGCCACAAGGGTGGGACCCCAGGGTCCACCTCCTCTCTTGAGCTCTTTTGAATAAAACGGCATCGCTTTTGTCTGGTGTCTGTCTTTGCTTCAAGATTAAAGGGAGGAGGGGCTGTCAGTCGTCCTTAATAGCAGCAGGCATTTGGTCTAATGCTACAGGTCATCTGGGTCAGGTGCCAGGCTGCAGAATGTTTAAAGTCTGATCTTCATTTTAGAGAAGGGATAGGGGCAGGGGTGGAGTAGGGGGGTCTTTTGCTGGCAGGAATCGGCACCCAGTCCTGGTAAACAGCTCTCAGCATCCCTGGAGCCCCAGCCAGGGTAAGCCCTGGAGGTACCTGGCAGAGGGCCCAACTGTCTGGGCCCCTTTGGGTCCAATCAGTGGTGCACGGGGTGGCGGGTGCTGGCACTGACTTGTGGGTGGCAGGGTGCGTGGAAGGCCACTGTGGCCTTAAGCGGCACGTTGCCATTCTCCCCAAACACAAAACAGCAGGGACCGGAGTTTGGGGGTCTGGAGCAAGGATTCCAGAGGATTGTCATGTAAGGGACCGAGGAGACAAGTCCCTCACCACGGGCTGGCCCTCTTCCTGGGGGACTTCCTCGCCACCTTGTAAGCCTGCCTGTGCCACTTCCCCTACCTGGTGCTGAATTCCACAAGTTCCTATTTGGTGATCAGAGAAAGCCAGCAAGACAAGTGTCAAATGTCCTGCTTGGTCCTCCGCTGTAGGAGGGCAGCGCATGGGTCAGGAACGGTGGTCCTTGCAAGTGCTGTTGTTGTTGTTATTATCACTTTTTGAGCTGGCATCTCACTGCATTGCTCAGCCTGGTCTCAAACACAAGGGCTCCACCAATCCTCCGACCTCACTCCAGAGGACTGAAGTGTGCACCGCACACCAAGCCTCAAAAGTTCTATTCAGGAGAAGGGTTATGTGGCATTAATCCACCCACACGGTTAGCAACCATCACACTACTGGTTCCAAAATTCTTCATCAGCCCCAATAGAAGCTCCGTGGTCACTGACCATGAGCTCACCCGTTCCCCACTCCCACGGCCTGGAACTTCCACTCTGCTTTCTGTCCCCATGAATCCACCTATTCCAGATGTTTCTTCAAGGCCATCACAATGTTCTCGGGTTTGTCCTCGCTGTGGCGCTGTGGCCTGGGGGGCCCTCCGTTCCTGGGTGTGGCTGGACCACCTGCCCTTGGAGGCTGCTGGGGCATAATGGTGCCCAGGACTCCCGTGGGCCTCCTCATTTCTGCCCAGTGGGCACTGGTGTCCCGTGTGTGTTCCCGTTCCGCTGAGTGATCCAAGTCCTCCGCTTTTCTTCTTTGTTAACCTAGCTAAAGGTCTGTCGATGTCATTGTTCCTTTTGAAGAACCAACTTTTGGTTTCACTGAGATTCTCTGTGGCTCTTCTCTTTTCTGTCTCTGGTTAATCTTCATTATTTCCCTCCTTTTGTAGCTTTGGATTTAGGGGTCTTTGTTTTTGTTCTAAGCCATACTGTTTTGCAGTTGATTTTATGATTTTAGATTTTTTTTTTTGTAGCAGGGATTGAACCCAAGGCCACCTAGCCCAGCCCTTTTTATTTTTTAACACAGAATCTCACTAAGTTGCTTAGAGCCTCATTAAGTTGCTGAGACTGACCTCAAATTTGTGATCCTCCTGCCTCAGCCTCCTGAGCTACTGGGTTTCACCTAGCTTGAGATCTTTTTATTTTATTATTATTATTTTTGTCATTTTGGTACCAAGGGTTGAACCCAAGGGCACATACTTAAGCACTAAGCCACATCCCTAGCCTATTTTTTTTTTTTTTAATTTTAGAGACAGGGTCTCACTACACTGCTGAGGTGGCCTTAAATTTGTAATCCTCTTGCCTCAGCCTCCTGGGTCACTGGGGTCACAGGTGCGGCCTTTGCAGCTGGTTTAGATCTTTCCTTTTTTACCGTGGGTGTTCACAGCTCTCCATTCCCTCTGAGCAGTGCTTTCGTGTGTTTTGTTTTCCTACTTGCAGGACATCATGGGATTCCCCCATGATCCTGTCTTTGACCCGCTGGCTGGTTGTTTACAAGTGTGTTGTCTGAATTCTACAGATTCACCATCAGCCCAGCTCCTTCTGCCGTTGACTTCTCGTTTCTCCCACTCAACTTGGAAAGAGACTCGGCAGGCGTCAATCCTTCAGATGTACCCGCTGTTCCTGGCCTCACACACGTGTCTGTCCACATGCATCTGAGAGGACGCACCCTCTGCCACCACTTAGGTCCTCTAAGGGTTAGGGTTCGTCATCTTGCTCAAGACCTCTATTCCTCATCCACCTCTGGTTGGCTCCTCTATTCAATATTGGAAGTGAGGCATTGAAGTCTCCCAGTCTGGATTTCTCCCTTCAATTATGTCCATTTTGCCTCTCATATTTTGTGCATGTTATTAGTTGTGCATGTTTCAATTTTATCTTCTTGATGAAACTTCTATCRGTATATACAGACATTCCTTGTCTACTGCTACTTTCTGACATAAAATTTTACCTGATATTATAGCTGTCATTAAAATAAACTATTATTATGGAATATCTTTTCCTATCTTTGTGTCAAAGTGAGTTTCTTTGAATACAGCATGCTTTTCTTTTAAAGCTCATTCTGCCCATCTCTGCCCTTTAGAGAATTTAACCCATTTATATTTACAGCAAGTATTGAGAGGGAAGGTCTCACTTCTGCCATTTAGCTTTTTTTTTTTTTCTGTATGTCTAATATGGTCTTTGCTCAGTTCCTCAAATACTGCTTTTTATGGACTTATTTATTTGTGGTGCTGGGAATTGAACCTACGGTCTCTGGCATACCAGGCGAATGCTCTACCACTGACCTACATCCCCCGTCCCTTCAGTTTTCTGTTTTTTGTAATTAACAGGCAAAGTATTCTAATGTGTATGTATTTGTGGATTTTTTTTT